CTGGGAACTGAAAAAAATTATGATATATACAATTGTTGGAGCCAGGAGAAAAACCCAGGTGATGACAGAGATGATTCGTGCAGTCTGCAGTGTCTGCAGCATGTGAGTTCCTGAAGGATGGATGATCCTTAGATACCTGGAGAGAGACGAGAAATAAGCAGAATACAACTTCACTAAAGGTGCCTAATCTGAAGAAGTCAGTTAAGTCAAAAGGATACATTCATGCTTTTGTCAGGAGCACAGGGTAGTGGTTAACCACTTAATCTAGTTTTTACATTATCGGTAACTACAGCCTTAAATAAGTAAAGGTTCCTTACCTGTTGGCAGCGATGTACCCCATGAATAATATACTGGCACACATGTTGATGAAGAAGGCAGAAGCTCCAAAGCTGCAGTAAAGCCTACGAATGATGGGAGAGCTGCTGGCATAGTAGGTAATGCGGAGTGGCAGACAGAGGCAGAGCAAGAAGTCAGCAGCTGTCAGGTTCTTCAAGTAGACCATCAAGCTGTTGGATACCTCAGGCCAATCTCGACAAAGATAGACCTTCAATGTAAAGCCATTGAGGAGTAAACCCACCTGAAAATAAACAGAGTGGAAGGAAAAGAAAAGGATTGGTGCATACACCGGCACATAAACCAATTGCTAACAGAGCACAATTGGATAATTTGAAACTTACGAGGAACACCAGACTGTAGACCACCATAAAGTAAGGGTTCATGGATGTATCGTCATAGGTCTGGTTCAAAGATGATGTCATGTTTTTGGGGGCAACCATGGATCTGGCACTGAAAATAAATCCAGTTCATTTTTGAAATGATTCACCTCCACGGTCTCTTGGTTTGTTGCGTTAAATAAATGTTGGATTCATTGCCAAGAAGCACTGTTACAACAAAGAAATAGTCAACCAAACACAAATTTATCCACTTATTGTGTAAAGTTTATATATATATATATATTTATATGTTTTACTTTTCTGTTTTCATTGCCTTAAAGAAATGTAAAGTCATATTGTTTCCTATGTTTTTGTTGCTTTTGACAAGCACATTAATTTTACATGTAACAAAATGCGCTATATAAATAAAATGACTTTGGCTTTAAAAGCTCTTCATATCGGGGCAGGTCTGTTTATTTTGCATTTTTGATTCCTTATGTTAACTGACCCCTGCGTATTGCCTCCGTTTCATACCAGCATGTCCCAGCCTAGATAAGAAAGCATAGTTGTATTAGTTATTTCCTAACAAAACTTCAGGGATGTCATTCCCTCCAAGTACGAATAATGAATCAGCGACAACAACAGGAATAAACTGCAATATATACAGTGGGGCAAAAAAGTATTTAGTCAGCCACCGATTGTGCAAGTTCCCCCAC